CTGTACTTTTGGAAAATGATGGGGTTCAGAGTAAATCTCCTAATTATAATGCAAAATCATTTACCTCTGAGAATAACCAATATTTCTGACCATACAAGCTGTCATGTGGTGTATGAATGGCCATAAGTGAAGGACAAGGAGACAGACTCCAGGTATGTGGAGTGTGGAGCTGTCCAAAGCCTTGCTTTTGTCACAGTTGGCCGATTAAGTCATTTTTAGAATTTGGACTTCTCAGGGGCAGAGGTTTTCTTTTTCATATTAGATGTACTCTGCTCCCCATGCTGTTTAGTTATATAATAGACTAACTGCATGTACAAAGTCATGCTTTTTTAGTATAAAATACAAAATCATGTTCTTTGCTTTTGAAGTGATAAGTATTCATGATATTATTAATTTGGGACATGCCAAATAAGACCTTACCAGAAGTACTTTCAGGAAGAATAAATATGCAGCTGGCTCTTATCTGCTTTTTTGTTACATATAGTTTTCGTACCTCTGCCTCACGAACTCTATTAGTTTTCTCCCTAAAATGTTAGAGTCCAATTGACTGTGTATTGTTCCATTGTATTTTCCAGGTTTTTCAGACCTTGTGGCCAGGGCTGAAATCTTTGCTTCTCCCTTCTCTGAGCCATTCTGTTTGCAGTGTTTCCCCTCAGTCACCAGACAGCACCTGACTAGATGACCTCCTGCCATCTGTTCCCTACATGTGCTCCCTGACCTGGACACCTCAGGGCTGGCTGCCCTCTAGAAAGTGATCACAGAGGCAGCTACCCTCTCAGGAGAAGATGAGTTTATTTCATCTGTAAATCTTGTCAAGAAGTTGGACTCAGTGTCACAAGAGTAAAATCTCAGTCACAGTTGAACTGTCACATAATGGCATACCAAACAATAGCTAGCTTATCAGTCAGTACTTTGTTTTTAGAAGAATAGAGACCCTGAAAATGAGCACATATTTTTTTTGAATCTCTGTTCTACTGTCTTCTACCTATTTAAAAGAAGTATTAACCTTAAAGTTTTAAGCATGTTGTCTGTTATATCAAAGTAGACATTTAATAAATGTCAGCGCCTTCCAAACTATGAAGAATTTACAATGTGCAGTGCTAGGATGGGTCACTAGAGTACTAAACAGTGTCAGAATACGAACAAGGTGGATGCTCAGGCTGCTTTATCTTTCACAGGGGGAATATTGGTGGATTCTAAGCTGAAATATAACTTAGAATGTAAACATGCCACGTTAAAAACTTATGGAAATGAGAGTCTAGAGACAAGATAGATTACTTTTACTGGTAGGATAAAAGAAAGCTTAACAGTAAAAGTGGCAATTGAAATGAAATACAAAGATTTTTTTCCCATTTGCTTGTATACTAAAGAATGTGATTTATCTTTCCTACTAGTATTGGAAGAGATGAGAAGTAAGGTGAGCAAATAAAGTTAGCGTAGGCTATATTTGGAGCATTGCTAATGGTAAAAGTTGGCTAGAAAAGAGCTCACATTAAAGGAAGGTACGAAATAATTTGGAAGACTACCTTAGATCATTTTTTGACAGCTTTAAATCTCAACATCAACTAGAAATTTCAACACATAGCTATGGATAAAGAATTTTTGACTCTTACCCTCTAACCAGAGCTATTGGTATACACAGGCTCTAAAGAACCTTAATTTCTTCTTACTTTGTTTGTGACATTGAGAAAGTTATTTGCTTTTCCTTGCTTCAATTTTCTCATTTGTAAAATGAGAATATTAGGTTATGCCATGTGTTTTAAAGTGCACAATTATTTGTTCATAAATTCATTTGTTGGGAAATGGCAAAGTGTTTTCATGCCAAAGGTTTTTTTAAAGGCAATATTTAAAATCTTGAAGATGGAAGTAAAAAAAAATCTTTTCTTTTTTTACAATATAAGACTCATTATTTTATTCCTAAGCAGTAGAGCTAGCAATACTATTTAAGGCAGTTTGAAGGAGAGAAGACTTAATGAAGACAAGAAAATCATTTTGAGTTTGGGCTTACAATGAAATACCATAGGGACTTAAAATAATTGTTGGGTTTTTTTTTTCAAGAGAAAGGTGAAATTATTTGAAAGATAGTGAATCAAATTAAACAGAAATTGAAACTTGATTGAATATCAATTCTAAAGTTAATAAGCACAAAAGTATTATTTTTTAGGTTTACATATTTGATGTTAAGCCATATAAGTGAACTGATTCAAAGATGATTTAATTCTGGTTTACTTGGAGAGAGATACAATGCATGTGTTTATCGAGATATACATTGGCACATGTTATTAATCTAGCAAATTGTGTGAGATAGGCACTTTTCTAAGTATTGAGGACAAAGTGAAGAACAAGAAAGACAGGCCTCTTGCTCTTGTGGAACTTTCCTTCTATGATTAGTAGTAATAGAAAGGCAGAAAGCAAAGAAATGAAGAAAACAGCAGCTAGAAAAAGATGTGAATCTGGGATGCAAAGAAGACTTTCTGGAGGAGGATGCACTTACACTGTGAGCTCAATGTTTAAAGGAGCCAGCAATGCAGAGTGGTAGGGAAGTAGCACCACAGATAGAGAAAACAGAGTACAGAGATGTCGGCTTCGGGTTGTTTTCTTCCCTGGTGTGTTCTAGAAACTGAAACAAGCCAGCCAGCAAGGCCATGGTAACCTGGGGGTGGGAGTAGTTAGAGATGACATGAGAATATGCTAGTTCACAGCATGGCTCCAACTCCAAAACCACATCCATAATCTCTTCTTGATTTTGTTGAATTTTTACAGCCCAGTATATATCTTTGCTCTTGGCAGATAAATAAAAACATATTTGCTCCTTCAAAAAATACCAACACTGGAAAAATGTAAGACTTCCACTTTTTAAGAGGAGAAAACTAGAACTCAGGGATTCTCAACCGATTGTTCAAGGTCACACAGCTTGTAAATGGCACTGGCAGGAGCCACATCAGGTCTTATGATTTCAGGACCAGAGCAGTTTTACTTCCCATGGTGTCATTTTCCCTTCTTATGTAACCCTAAAGAATAGCAGAATTACTGACCTCTTATCAGAGAACCTGCAGGAGAAGCTTCTATAAATGGTGATAGATGTTTAACCACATGACAATAAAAGAGTCCTCTAAGTATAGCTAAGAAGCTGATGTGCTCTTGGGTGCTCTAGGCTTAGGGCTAGAGAGGAAGAGGGAAGTGTCTATAAGCAGAGAACAGGTAGAATAATTATAGATTTATTTTTCTCTTCATTGGGAGGATTCCAGCAGACCTTTGCTCTTAGAACAGCAGGATGTGATGACTTTCCAACAGAAGCAATTCTGTGTATCTGGACTGAATGGAATATGCTATAAGATACCACTGAATTTTAAAACAAATATGAAATATGGAAAATAAACTGGCATTTACTCTTGGGCACTCTATTAGCCACTTGTGCACTTTGCCCTCCATTAACTTAACAGCCAGGCAGGGGCCATTAAAATCCAGCCTTCTTCCTTCAATTACAGTCACACATTAGCTCTAGATATTCTAAGCCTGTTTAATAGAGCCATTTTCAGAAAGGATTAGGAGCTATCCTATTAGTGTCTCCCCTCCTTTCTGTTCCCATCCTAACCCCCCCCCCCCGCCGCCTTTTGCAACTTTGAGTTCTGAATACATCTATCTCAGAGGCAGTTGGGATCTCTGTTTATGATGCATTCCCAAATCCCAGCATCCACTTACATGAGAGCCCCAGTTATAGAGATATATTGTACTCCTTTCAGAGAGCGGCATTTGCTGCTTGTTGGGGGCTTTCTGACTGATGCGCCGGGGGTGGGGCGAGGAAGGAGAGTTGGCTGGCGTTTGGGAGCAGATTTAGAGCCGCTTCTCATTGGAGGGGCTAGCTTTTCCTGAGCTGCCAGACACTGCAGGCTCAACTGAGGCGCGGAGGTGCAATTCAGGCTGGTGGAGCAGCGGGGGAAGGCAGGGACAGGCGGGGCTAGCGCGGTTCTGCAGCTGATCACACGCACCAGCGCACTCACCTCATTCCTGCCACCCCTGCTTGCGCCTGGCGTCCTCGCTGGGCTGCCAAAGCGTGGGCTGGGACGCGGGACCTAGGAAGGAAGACGCAAAGGTCTTCACTGAGAAGGAGAGGGAAGGCTGGAGCGGCGGTAGTGTTTAACCTGAAAGTCTGACCTGCAGCCCGAGGCTCCCACCTCGTCCAGCAGCGCCGTGCCAAGGAGCCCCAGAGTCCCGTGCCCCAATCAGTCTTTGCTCGGCGCGCCAGGATTTTTTGGCGAGGACAGACTGGTGCCTTCCCTCCGGGAGCTGTGGAGATTAAGAGACCTGCATTGTCGCCCGACGTGGTACAACAGGAAAAGTAGGAGCGAAGCAAACAGCCGCGAGAGCAGAGTGCCAGGCCAGGCTGCCTCTGCCCCTGGCAGCGCCGCCTCCCGCCCTCGCTCGCGGGGTGAGTGCCCGGCCTCTCGCCCTCGCTTGCGCTTGGAGGACCTGGGTGGCGACCGTGGAAAGTCGGCCGCCCGCGCTCGCCAGGCGAACGCCTCTCTGGAGTCGAGAGCGGGGGCTTCAGCGCCCCGAGGGCGTGGGTACGGGGCGTCGCACCGCTGCCCAGCAGACATGCCGCTGGGCGGGATTTTGGCTAAAAGATAGGAGTCAGGAGAGCCAGGGGGTGTCGGGAGCTTTACTGGGGGGGCGGGAGATCTGGGAGCAGCGGGGAGGGGGGAGGGTCTGGTCCTAGCAGGTAGCACAGCTTTGGCACTAGGCGAGTTGGCAGGTGGAGTGAGACTTGTTTGTCAACTCATTCATTTTAAGCAGTCTGTGTAGGGGAGCTGCAGGGTAGCCAGGAGGACCGCGGAAAGGTAAGAGGTGACCGGGATGCCGGTGCTGGGGAAGACAAGAGGGGCCTCGCAAAGCTTGGAGGCACAATTGCACTTGGGTCCCTGGTCCTGGCGTCTCTCCTGCCTTGAGTTCGGAGAGTACTTTTGTTTTTAATACTCAGCTTGGCTCCAGAACCTCGTCCCAGGGGAGGAGAAGCGTGTGCAAGGGCAGGGACCATAGCCACCTGCCGGGGCGCCCCCACCCCAAGAGCGCCCGCGCTGGCTCCCCCACCTCCCCCGCCCCCACCTCCTCGTTGGTGCTGGTCTGCAGCGCTCCGCTCCTGCGCCTTCGCTTCGCTTTTGAATCTGGCTCGCCCCTCCGTATTATGTCTGCACTCCGCAGGAAATTTGGGGACGATTACCAGGTAGTGACCACCTCGTCCAGCGGTTCGGGCTTGCAGCCCCAGGGACCGGGCCAGGGCCCGCAGCAGCAGCTCGTACCCAAGAAGAAGCGGCAGCGGTTCGTGGACAAGAACGGCCGGTGCAATGTGCAGCACGGCAACCTGGGCAGCGAGACGAGCCGCTACCTCTCGGACCTCTTCACCACGCTGGTGGACCTCAAGTGGCGCTGGAACCTCTTCATCTTCATCCTCACCTACACCGTGGCCTGGCTCTTCATGGCGTCCATGTGGTGGGTGATCGCTTACACTCGGGGCGACCTGAACAAAGCCCACGTTGGCAACTACACACCCTGCGTGGCCAATGTCTACAACTTCCCCTCTGCCTTCCTCTTCTTCATCGAGACCGAGGCCACCATCGGCTATGGCTACCGATACATCACCGATAAGTGCCCCGAGGGCATCATCCTCTTCCTCTTCCAGTCTATCCTGGGTTCCATCGTGGACGCCTTCCTCATTGGCTGCATGTTCATCAAGATGTCCCAGCCCAAGAAGCGCGCTGAGACCCTCATGTTTAGCGAGCACGCGGTGATCTCCATGAGGGACGGGAAACTCACGCTTATGTTCCGGGTGGGCAACCTGCGCAACAGCCACATGGTCTCCGCGCAGATCCGCTGCAAGCTGCTCAAAGTAAGTACGACCTCCGCTTGCTCAGCCCGTGGCGCCCTCAGCACCCAGGGTCAACCCGCCTGGGAGCCGCCCAGCCCTCTTCCCGGTATACCTGTCCCACAGGTTACCTCTTGGATATGGAGGAGAAGGGCAAGTGTCACAGCTTTGCTCTGTGCGTTTCTAACTCGCACCTCCCCTTCTCTTATTTATAGTCTCCGTTTCTGATGCACTTGTATCCCTTTCCGGATTAGTAACACTGAACAAGTCACGCTGTGGTCTCCCGAAATCTTTAAAGAAATGCTCTGCCTGCCCTGACTGCTCAGAGCACTTTTGATTTCCTGTGAATAGCGCAGTATTCCATTAAAACTGAAGTGCTAAAACTAAATCGAGGAGCTTTTATTTTGAACAACTAAGTGCTGCACTCGCCTCAACTTTTGCTCTGGCTTGGCTTTCTGCTTCCCCCCCCCCCTCGTACTATTAGTGGTTGAGTTATTCATCTGCATTCAGTTTAACTTTATCTTATCTTTTTAATAGTCAGATACAGGAAACAGTTAACAAAGTGGAAGAAACCACACCTGGTTCTCATTTTTTTAAATTTTATTTTACTAAATATTTTCCTAAAGAAGTGTTCTATGAAAGTTTGAGTGCTTTGCCTGCAGAGCCTCTGGTTAGCATCATTCTTAATTGCATGTTTCTATGACACCTTTGTCAATTACAGATTTCACCTGAAGCTTTTCAGCATCCATTAAAGAAGATTGCTTCCCACCATCCGTGGTGTGAAAGCTAAAACAAATGGCACATGGAGTGGTTGTTAAAGCAAGGTTCTTCTAGTCGTTAGAGGGCACCACCACGAAGGAGAGGCGCTCCATAGTCACCCTCACAGTTGGAGTCTGGGAAAGAAGGAATAAGGGACTAAGGGAATAGTTCTACCTCTAGGCATTCTTTCCTTGAGGGATTTGCCTTAGTATTTGTCTATAAATTGAAAGTAATGACCTCGAATAGCTCATACATTGAAAATTATATATCAGAAATTGTATAGAGACCCGCAGCCAGATTCAGAACTTAGTACTAATAAAATAATGATCGGATAGTTACTTATGTTGAGGTTTTTGCTGTTGAAATTTTTCATTGTCTGCATATATATTAGTTTACACAGCCCCAGTTTATGTTGTAGGTGACTGAATATACTTCAAAAAGGTTTCATGTTGTGTCATTTTCATTATTCATTTGTAAGAACTTATTTTATTCTTGACTAAGAGGCTCAGTAGGGTTTGAATTAAAGAAGTTCACTTGACCTGTCACTTGACATCATATGCATATTTAATATGCTACTGACAGTAAGTAAACTAAATTTTATATATCAGAGTATAAAATTACCAGTCTGATTCTGATGTACATTTTAATTGATATAGCCATGAATATATATTTGAGTAGATTATTTTATTTCATACTTAATGAACTGCACATAATTATTAAGATTTATCTTAGCATTTTTGACTAATGTGTGAATTGAACAGGTTGTGAGAAAAATCTAAGCGGTTGCAGTAGTGAATTGTATGTGCTGGTTTCTATGCATAGATCAAGATGAACCTTCCCCTTCTTCAGGTTAAGCCTTCTGGGCAGATAGGAGCATTGTGTTAGAGTGATGACAAAATAGCTGTCAAAAAAAAATCCATGTTTCTGTATCACTTCAGACTCCTATGGCAGAGTAATTTACCATGTTGATTGGCCTAGTAAAACTTGAAATTTAGATTTCAGAAGCTATTTAAATTCTTTTCAACATTTAGTATCTTTTAGTTTTTCAAACATATAAGGTTATTTTTGAAGAATGATATTTTTTCCAGATTTTAGGTGTCACCAAATCTTATTTTAAGACAACTGGACATAATTAGAATATGTATATTCATATTCTATTTACACACACACACAATGACACTGGAGCATTGTGTCTTTACAGTGGTGAAGATTCCTGAAAATGAGCTTTTTTTTTGGGGGGGGTTGGTGTAAGACCATGTACCACATGCATTATAAGTAGTGTCTTGATTAGAAATAGAAAGATTTATATTATTGGCTAATTTGTAGCAAGGTGCTATGTTAACACAAGGTGATAAAGAAATCTCTAATTAAGGTAATAGACTGATCCTAAAATATCATTAATTGTCGATTAATTAAGATGTTAGTACTTGAAGTCAAAATGATTGACATGTGACATTCAATTTACATTTAAACTAATTTATAATTAAATTCTCTCTTGGTTTTGTGAAGGAATAGGGGTTGATTAGTGGTAGTTCCTCACACAAGCCAGCTAGTGTATTTTGTTTGAAATTGTTTTTTTTTTTTCCAGTAGCCATAGTAATTAAATGAATTCTTACAGTTCTTGTCATTTCCTTAGATTCCATTAAAAAATACTCATGTTTTATAAAGGAACTAAAAACATTCAGCACAATTAGAGAGGAGATTTGACTTTAATAGTTGTTCTCATTTTCTTTTAGAGGCTGAATTGAAGTGACCTAAAACAGTCAGCTATATTAGGAGAGAAAAGCTAAACAAAATCTCAAAGTTATAAAGTTTAGCATCACTTTTATCCATCCTACTTATTTTATATTATTTCATATGCTCATTATTGTATTTTAAACTCCACTTAACATTTCAAAAGTAAAGATGATGTATTTTTAATGAAATATATATAATTTTAAAACACCAAGAACTAATATAATATTTAATGATAGTAATTATGGTGCATGTGTTGTCTCCATATTAACAAATTTTGCTATCTATATATTTGCTGAACAGAAAGTTCTTCTTTAATATAAACATTAAAGTTGTATCTCATAATCATAAATCACTTTGAGGTCTTGTGAAGACACAAGTAATTTGGATATAGCTTTCTAACATTTGCTGCTATCAAGTTTTCCATACATAATTCTTTTCATTTATCTAACTTTTGATGAAAGATTCTCAGCCTGATTTTTGACTATTTTTTACTTCTATGAAGAAAAATTTTACTTTGGCTCTACTCCAGAATTCTCAGCTTGAAAATAGCAACCAAATATAAAATGTCAAAATATATCTTTGGATATATGTTTCTTTAATACTAAAAAATTAAATAAATTTAATGTAATATAAAAGATATAGCTTGAAGTTGTTTTTAAAATCTACAATTATGAAGCTGTAAAATCTGTGTTAAAATATACATTCTTAATCCTCTCATCACTATATTAAATTTTATTTGAATTATCACTTTATTTTAGTTGCCTTTTTATCCTAGAGAATAGAAATTAAATCCAAAACTCAACCAATTTACTGTGTCATCCATTTAATAAAAATACTTGGATTATGGCTCAAAGGTTGGAAACTAGGATCGGGTTTAAAATATTTGAAAATCTCATTTATTCCTCTCTAATGATTCACTGACCTAGATGTTTGACTTGTAGAAAGAAATAATCTTTGGTGCACTCTTTAGTAATTTACGAATTATTATCCAAATGTGTATACTGTATGTATATATCATACATATGGTTGTGTTTACTCAACCAAACAATTTTGCATAAAGCCAACTATGGTTGCATCCAGATTTTGAAATAAACAAGAATGAAGTCCCACATGGAAGGATAATACTATTTCTTTTTCTCTACATTGATTGTGGATAGCCATTGTCTTTCTGAGGATGTTGCCTGTGTGATCTCTAACTTTCATTTACTGAAAGACAACCCAGTGCATCCTCTTCCTCTTTTGATACCACATGCATTTTTTGGTCCTGACATTTTAATTCTCCATTTATATTCATAATTAAGTTGACTGCTTTGTGGTTTTCCCATATTATTTTGATCATGTGCCGGTGCAATTAGAAATTATCTATAAAACCACTGGGCACTTTATCATCTTTTTTCTCTTTTCAGTGTCTGTGAGGAATCTAACCCAGGGCCTTGAACATGCTCAGCAAATACTTCACCACTAAGATACATCCTGAGACCTAGTCTAACATTTTATTAATCTTTTAGCCTCAGTGATTCCTGGACCACAGATTCTGGGATTTTTCTTACATCATTATTGACTTGCATTTACTATGTATCTTCATTCCATGCCACACATAAATGTGACTATGACTTGACTCTGGATGGCCTTATTTTGTATGGTGGGCCTTTTTTTGTCCAACTGATCTTTGTTAATTTGAACTTCTAATCTTGAGACAGTAATATATTTTTATTTTAAAATTAATCCATATATGTATACAATCATATATATATATATATATATATATATATTGTTCTGAAACCATGATCCAGACTGTTGGAAAATATATTTAAGGAATCTAAGATGGGACTTCAGAACTCTCAAGAGATAGGTTCTCGTATTATTTGGTGATTTTTTTCTAGTGGATTTATTAAGTCCTTAAAAATAGCACAGTCCCTTTGCTTTTTTTGAGACAAAGTAATTCTCTAATAAGTATAGACCTTGGGTTGCTTGTAAAAACTGTAATTATAATTCTTTTCTCTAATAGTAGTTCTATTTTTAAAATTTTAACATGACTCCTGAGAAGTACAGAGTGCTCAGAAAATAAGCTATGAACAGAAAAAAATGGATGTGGAGGCCCACAAATAAACACCAGTAGGTAAGGACAAATGATAAAGAGAAACAGGAGAAAGCATTTGGAGATTGAGGGTGTGGAGTGAGGAGGAGGAGAATGTGCAAGCAGGGTTACCAATCCTATCCATAGTTATTATAAATTCCACAAGGCCCTCAAGGAATAATGAGCCATGCTTTCATTTGAATGGTATAAAAGCCTCACAAAATCTGTTGCAAGATAAAATATACTCCATTCCACAAAGAATGTTCTTTGCATAAGTGTGAAAATTATAAATACTTAGAATTATATAATTATAAATTTAACCTAATATTAAAAATGCTTTATTTTAGACTCAATTTTAATCGGCTCTTTCCTGAGTATGCTCAGTGCTTCAGGCCCAAGGAGTCCACATAAGTGTACAGTGATTGCCAATGATCAAGATGTAACTAGAGATCTATACACTCCTCTTGTTGACTGAAATTTTGATGCAAATGTCAAAAATATTGCCATAACTACTTTGAATCTCAAAGGCACTTTTGTTCTTGATCCTGAAATCCATATTTGCTTATTTCCTATTACTCTGACTTCAGTTCATGTAATATTGCCTCTGACTTCAACATACACCTGTAAAAACAGGCACAAGCATTTGTATTACACATTTTTTAAAAAGTAGAATTCTAGATAAAATGGTGTGGCGCTTGTAGGCAAAAATCTGCCTTCTTCTCTTCATCTGAGCCTCCTTTCCCTTTGCTCCTGCTCACTGGCCTAGTGGTTTCATTGCCAGTGGTGACTTAGGAGAGATGTTAGAACATAGACCAAGCTTTGGAATATGTTACAGGTAAATCTAGAGAGTCAGAATATTTTATTCAAAAATTCCTCATCATTCTCTCTTCACTGAGAAAGAACATAGTCAGAGGCTACAAAGGGGGGAAAGGCACCAAAGACAATGATTGGAGTGGTACATTTTGTCTCTGCAGAGTGATTTTGAACTCTTGTCCACATCTCATCTAGCAGCAGGATGCAAAACAGGGGTGTAATCAAAGGAAGTACTAAATGTGTATATCCTGTGTGTGTGTGTGTGTGTGTGTATGCGCGCATAAACACTGAAGAAATTTTTATCTATTATATGATAGCTATTTGATTGAAAGTACCTGACAATGAGGGTCCTTTCTAGGCATATGTAACTTTTGATTATTTTTTCAGCTCAAGTCAGAGTCTACTTGTATTATTTTGTAGGATGTTCCAGATTCCTAGGAAGCTCAAAAGCATAAAGATCTAATTATATGTAATGAAAATGTGTATAATAGAAATACTTCTTAAATGCTATGTTTTAATTATGAAGATTACTTTAAAATTATTGCCACCATCTCAGTGGTGCAAAATCATTTTCAAAACACCATGCTATTTAAATTATAATGGTTTGGCCAGTGAGTTTAAAAGAAATTTTGAGTTTTTAATGGCCTCATATTTTGTCCTCACTCCACAAGTTTTATTTATTTCATTAAATGAATAAGGGTTTAAGATGATAGAAAGAACTCACTTCTTTTTTGTAATTCCATAAAAGTGGAAATCAAAGTTTTATGGAAGTCATTCTCATAGGTTTTCAAACTATCTATTAGGCATAGCTATCTAAGCATTTTTATCAAGGAAATTATCTTGGTTTGTATTCTCTTTGAAATCAGGAGCTTTGTAGAAATAAAGGAGATAATAGTAGCAATAACAAATATTAGCAACAGACTCCTAAAAATCATAATTCTTATGGTCACATAACAAAGAAAATTGTTATAATCTAAAAACATTCTGCCTATCACCAAATATCACTAGTTGAGAGGTAATAGTTGATACCTAAGATAATATGAAGCTAATGGTATATCAGTGCTGCTGTTTTATTATATCCTCAAGTTACAGATCAGTTTAATTCTAGAAAGCACATGCATAATTCATCTTTTTATCTTTCTTTTTCACATGCATGTATATATCACAATTCCCTAAACAAAATCTCTCTTCTTACTCTAATGTAATTTGAGAGACTTAAAACCAACATAGATTTTTTTTAAACTTTGCAAATCTCCAGAATTGCTGTAGAATTAGGAGATCCTAGATTAGAATTATATAGAAGACTAGGGAAGAATTCATATGTTTCTGACAGTGCAGTTAGCCAGTGTATGTAGGTTTCTACAATATGAAAAGTATTTACCTGAGCACTCGATTCTTGTCAGGAGCTCAAATTTCAAATGATTCTAGCTCTCCAAGCACCTGCCACATGATAACTGCCCTTCACATTTAACTAGATCAAGGCTTCTACTTAATTTGAGCTCTTAGCAGGCCTCTGTGTCTACTGCAGAGTCAAAGAGGCAAAAAAAAAAAAAAAAAAACTCAGAGAAATGAGAACATTAAGAGTTGAAATATGTAATGACCTAACATAAACAAAGAACTAGATAAGAAAATTGTGGATATGTGTAATGTACCTTAGTTATAGAAAAGTTTAAATTTCATACTATTCACTGGAAAGTAATTTTTAATTCATGAGTAGAGAACACCACTTATTTGAACAATAGAGATATTTAGAAAACATCTTTCAAAGAAATGAAGTTATTCGTAACTTCCGTAGTTTCATAGAATAGGAAATCCAAAAGGGATAGGAAACAAAACATTGATGTTGGGGGCATGGGAACAAGATGGGATCACAAAGTATATTTTGTGTATATGAAAGAAATGCTTTATTTAAAATCAGAAGGAATGTTGAGTCTGAATGAGACATATTGATGCATATTGAAATCTAAATTGCTTATATCTGAATAAGTTCTTTTGTTAAAAATAAAGTATCATTTTTTCAGATTGGAACTCTCCTGGTAGCCTGCCTGTTTCTAGGCCACTTCTTCTGTTTTCATGGATTATCGAATGATTAGGGAATATAAAATATAATAGCTTACCCTAAAGCCCTTTTTGAAAGACAGCATTCAGTATTGAAGTACATGAAGTACATGTATTCTCTGAAAAAATTATTTTTAAATAAATGGAAAATTGAGATTTTACAGATTTGTCATTGTCAACATTGCCATGCAGTGCAATGCAAAATTCAGACTAGTCAGTGAATGCACCCAAATTTGGGCAATTATTGGGAACAATCAGAGTAGCACCTTGTGTTTATATAGCACCTGTATTTTACTAGGTAAGAGAACAATGACACGGCATTTTCATTTAATATTTGCTTTGTGTTTGGTTTTCATTTTATTTTCTTATTCAATACTTGCTACATAAATGTACAACAGGAAAAATGTTGGTCTCATCCCTGTTTTACTAACTGGACAGTAGGCTTAGAAATATAGATAAATTGAAAACTGTTCGCAGAGAAGTTTTTCCTGCTGGCTTAGAGGTGCCCAGCATTCTCCAACATCGGTTGTGAGAACTGCTGATTTTGTTTTAGCACCATCAGATTTATACATGGAGTTTTCTTTTGTATCAATATATTTCTTTTCATTTTCTGCCTCCTGTTATCCCTCTCTCCTCTTCTTCAACCCTATGCTAGCTCCCCTCTTCTACTATTAAAAAGTACCCACATTGTAGAGAAATGAATTCGATGCTGTCATTGAATTTTCTTCCATCCAGATAACGTTTCTGAGTATCACTAACCTCTCCAATGACTAATAGCTACTAAGACTATAGCAAAACCTGCCATGATAAACTGATTGCAATTTGAAAATTTTCTGTCTTATCTTTTTTTTGGAATTTTTTTAAAAAATTGACTCTATTCTTCAAAATACCATTTACCTAGTGTCACGGTCTCTTTCCAACTAAACTTTTTGGAAGGTACTCCTAAGTGCACAGATTTGACTACTTTTTATAAACTAAACCTAAATATTTGTTCATACATCATTATTATCCATAAATGATATGGAAAACAAAACGCAAATCAATGGAAAATGAGTAAGTTAACTTTCATGGTTTGCTGATTTTTATGTCACATTTAATTTTCATTTAGAGTCCTTAGCATGTGAGCAATTTATTAAATTAAGCTTAGAGTGATTTATATTGAAAGTGAATACTACCACCTTGTGAAAGTTTTACTAAACTATGTTTATCAAACAAAACCATGTAAAATTATATTTTAATTCAGTAATGTTTAATTTAGAACAATTTTGTCTGTGATTTAAAATCAACAAGTACAGAAGCAAGCAATTGTAATGCAATTTATTATTAGGAATTTGAAAGCCATTAGCTACAAGCAATGGCCTCTTATCTTTATTAAATGAACTCTTGTGTATGTGACATAATTTAATGTGATAAAATCTTCATCCTGCTTCTCAATGCATCTACATTTGGTATTTTTCTGAAGTCCTGAAAAATAAAGTATTGTGCTCTGCTTTTAAATATTTCAATAAAGATCTTTTTATAAATAATCCTTTTTCCCAGTTCTACCAAACTCTACAAGGATTGCGTATTTATTTGCTTTGTGAGGAAAGAAAAATCTGGCATGCAGTGAGTTATCATGTAGTGATTTGTGTCAAGCAGTGGCACGTGTACAGTCACTTCTACAGTGTGTGCTAACAGCCATTGTTGGGCCAGGCATTTCTCCAAAGCTCACGAGTTAGGGAATAGTAATTATAGCAAGTTGTATATTATAAATAATGCATGTATGTTCCACATGAGCTATGTGGGATTTTAGCCCATTTGCTAGAACATAGCTGCATAATGATTTGTTTGGATTTTGTTGCAGATGATTGATAGTGCAGAATGTTGGCAATGATGTAAATTACTGTTGGGCTGCCTTGAAAATTTCAGCACAAGTGGTGATTTCTTCTCTTTTTCTGTGTGCTTGTCTAGTCTCGGCAGACACCTGAGGGTGAGTTCCTTCCCCTTGACCAACTTGAACTGGATGTAGGTTTTAGCACAGGGGCAGATCAACTTTTTCTTGTGTCCCCCCTCACAATTTGCCACGTGATCGATGCCAAAAGCCCCTTTTATGACCTATCTCAGCGAAGCATGCAAACTGAACAGTTCGAGATTGTCGTCATCCTAGAAGGCATTGTGGAAACAACTGGTGAGTAAAATCACAGACATGCCATCAAGTTCTTTATTCCATGTGACACTGTATTATATGCACAATACTTAGCATGAATTAAGTGCAGTGACTCAGAGTTCACAATAACAAATGTAATAGCATATCTTTGTAAGATAAAATTGATGTTATTTTGAAAATTAAGATTTGCATTTATATACTTGCACAACTGATATGAATGTGTGGAATGTTCATTGGGGCATAAGGGAACTGCAGTAATGTCTTAGAAATGATTATGTTGTTCTGTTTCAATTATAACCTTGGGTTTCCTATAATTATGATTTTTCTTTAAAGATCTAAGGTTAAAAAAAATCAGGGTAATTAGTAAGCAGACTGCACTCAATGTGCATATCCTTGCCTTGGGGTTGGTAATCTGAGATGTGATCGAAAGAGCTTTGATAATACTGTGTGCAACCTCAGTGGAAAATTCCGTGTGTGTGTGTGTGTGTGTGTGTGTGTGTGTGTGTGTGTGTGTGTGTGTAAGCACATTGGTGAAAGGAGCTTTTTAATTTTAAAGCAGGTCAGTAGATTTCCCCAGCTGAACCTTGCCTGCAGTTTTGTTTAATAAAAAGAGAATTTTTCTTCTTTTACTGTTTCAGTATAGCTATGTGCTGTTTTATCCTTAAGATGTATGTACTATGAATTGTACCAAATACTTGCAGGGTGGAACTCTCCAAGGACAGTTAGGTCGGCAAAGAAAAGAAACAATAACTATGAGTATAAAATTTGGGCCGCAACCACTTCCCATTTAGTTTGGAGCCTACAGGATGATTCAGACTAAATATGTAAATCACTATAAATATATAAGTATGTATGTGCATGTGTGTGAGAGTATGTCTTGAATTTTATACTTTCTTCAGGTAATAAAAAAGCAATGATTTTTATCTCATTTTTTTCTTCCATTATCACTTTGATCTTAAAGAAGCAAATTGCTACATACAGCAATATACATTATATATGTGCCACTATATTGATACATTGAAATTAGCATTGGAAATACAATAAATTCAAGCTTTATGCCAAGGTATATGGTGTTTGATTGTGTATCAGTCACTTTTGTCCAAGGACTAGAAAACCATTGTGATTTTTCATATCTGTCACATAATGCCTATCTAAAATTTAAGAAAAGATTTATCTCTACAAGCTTCTTTTCTTTCCTTTTAAAATGAGGATAGTATAATTTTGAAGCTGCTCTTCATTATTATTATTTTTTTACTAGTACTTCAATTTAATATTAAATTTGTAAGGATATTTGAAAGGATTTATCCCATCAAACTATCTAAAATTTAGTTTTTGTGTACTATTGATCATTCCATTTTTTCATTCAATCTTTCAACTTGAAATGTTATAGTATTTTCCTCAAATATATTGGTAAGCAATGAAATCAATTTATAAAGCCTTTTATTCCAAGAATACTGCACATTTCAAGTAAATATTACAAATCATATGTATCTAATTATTAGGTTTACAAAATAGATGTTGCCAGTTTTATTGAATCATTTATATTTTATATTGTTCTCCTCTACACATCTTTTTATTGTTTGCCAATTAATTATTTTCATCACTGACATGAATGAATCTTTGTTTTACTAGATAGCCTTAAAAATCTTTTATTAGATCTAGCTACCTACCTAGTTCTGTAACCATCTGTTATTTTTTTGTGAATTTTACTAAGTACTATGTGATTTCTTAAAAGTAAAAATATTTTTATACAAAATCATAGCCTAAAGATGAAATATCTCTTTAGCTTTACTTTATACTGACCTTGTTGTACTTAAAGAATACAGATCAGGGATTTTGAAAGGCATTTCTATTTGGATATATGTGACATTTCCTTATTTATTGTATTTGATTTTATACTTTATATGTATATCTCGAAGCTGGCTGTTTTTAAATTTTATTTATATTTCAGAGGCTAGTAAATAATGTTGAACATTAAGATCATGAATTTTGTAATATCAACTATTCATTGATATAACAGATTTTAATGTTTTCCCCTTTGTTATGCTTTAATGAACCAACAGAGAATACTTTCCACAGAAAATGTGAAAACTTGGCTGGATACTGAATTTCTTATTTAGGGATTTCCTTTTATGGAGAAGAGATTAAAGTCTACTTCCTTTAACCTCTTAATTAAGCCTGTTTTGTAGACCTTATGTAGCAACATAAACAACAAAAAAAAGTCTTCTAGTTTATAGAATTTATTTTGTGAAAACTTTATATGACATTTTGTTTTCTCCTGGGGATAACAGTCTAACTGGAGAGGTAGATCACAAAGCATAAGTAAATAATCAAGATATTTTCAGGTAATAAATAGCATGTCAGGGATAGAAAACAAAGCCAACAAGGAGATATAGTGAGGAGCATATGCACATACTTTAGGTCAATGGTCAGGGATGCTCTCTCTAAGGAAGTGATAAGCTGAGCTCTGAGTGTCCAACTGGGCTGCTCCAGCTTCTCAGGGCACAGTCTGCAAGCTCTGAGGAACAGCTGGTGCAGAGGTCCTGAGTGAGGCAGGAGCCTGGTTTGTTCTGGGAATGAAAGAAGGTGGAAGTGATTGGACCTGCGTAAACAGTGCAGAGTGAGGTAAGAAGGAGTGGGCACCTCTGCACTGTGAAGGCTTTCACTGCATGCAGCCACAGGAAGTGGCAGGATTTTACTAAAAGCGCAGAGTAATAATTTAATAATTAATAGCAACAACAACAAGAAACTCCTATTATTTTTCCAGTGGGTTTTCTGTGGTTTATTCAGTAACTGTGATGCTTTGGGACTACCCAGCTTTCCGGGCGGTCGCTGCTTTCATGTTAGCTGTGCTCCCCGCTTTGCTCCCTTATCCTCCCACCCTTACTCACTTGCTCACTTTAAGACAGTCCTCATCTAAGACTCTTCTAATCTCATTTACACTGAGCTTTTTCCCTCTCCTGTGGTCTCAGCAGGTGTGGTAGGAGAGGCAGGTGAAAAATTAGAGGCATCTAATTTCTATGAAAATGTCAGGTTTCAGTCAGGACCCTCACATTTATTACTTTCTCCACTTCCTTGGAAATACTCCTCAGAGATCAGCCGCGCGAGAAGCGTTGCCCTGCTTGCAAATGAGTTGGAGCTTCCTGCCCCAGCCTTGCCTCCTCTCTCGGACGCCCTTGCACCCTTGCGCACGCTGCAGACTCCTGAGCGCGGATTACCTCTACCTCTTGCTCTCTTTGCTGCTTCTCCCAGGAGAGAGAGAGCACTGCTGGAGGCAAACAAAGCATTGCAGATTTGGCTCATTAGAACTGGATGCTTTCAAACTTCAATCTGGTTTCTGCTGCTATTTGGCAGTCTTTTTAATTGTCTTTTCTGTACTCTGAGGCTCACTCCCTATGGGATCTATTTTAGACCTTTTCTCTCTTCCCATACCCGCAGTCCCAGCTGTCCCATCCTTCTTTGGCATTTCATCTCTCCACCTATTCTATTAAAAACAATGTGACACTTCAGTTTTTGTGCATTTCTTTACTTATTTATCCTCTTCTCATGGTTATGTTTTTTCCCTGGTATCTGTGGAAGAAATTGCCTTTATCCTATTGCCCTAAACTATCTCTTTTACAAGTAGCTGAGTTTCTCTTGCATTTCTCCCTCCTGACCTTGGACTGAAATCTAGTTTGTACAACACTATTACCAGAAAATCCAACTGTTTTAATTCTCTTTGCTCTGAGAATATTGTCCGTTCTTGCTTATGGAGAAAATACCAACATTCTTCCTTTGTATGCTGAATGTTTCTCATGAGGTTCAGAGACGTACTACTATTTTCCATCCCTGCCTTTCTCTTTTTTTTTTTTTTGATAGAAAATTAACATTGGTTGTTATATTGCATATTTTTATCTTCAAAGTAGTTGTTCAGATTTCCAGATATAGGTTTGAAAAATTGATCATAAGTAAATGATTATATGTTCCTTTCAATAAAACAATTTAGAAATTAGTAGTGCCATTATGTTAAATATATATATATATATATACATATATATATATGCATATATATATATATATATATATATAATTTTCCCTTCCTTTCCTCTCTTCTTTTCCCTATTCCAGTTGTTCTTCCTTTTCAGCAGTTTCCTTCACTTTTACAATATCTTCTGTATCTGCCAGATTTTATTTAATCTTTCAGTCTCTTACATTAGGGAGACAATATTAAATTTGCCCATGTGAGTCTGATTTATTTTACTTATGAGTATGGTCTCTAGTCACATCCATTTACCCAGCCTCAAGTTTATCTTTCTTTATAGCTGAGTAATACTCTATTGTGTAAAATACTACATCTTTCTTATCCATTCTCAGTTGATGGGCATTTGGGTTGTTTCCAAGATTTAGCTATGATAAATGGTGCTGCTATAAACATGAGTGCACGTGTATTGCTATAGTATGATGTTTGCAACTTTTCTGGAAAGATAGCCAGAAGACAAAAATACTAGGTCAAATGAGACCTTTAATGCTAGTTTTTTGAGGAATCTCCACACTGGTTTCCATATTGGCCATAGCAGTCTATACTCCCACGTACAGTGGAGAAGGGTTCCTTTTCCACCACAGCCTTCGTTATTGGTTGGTTTCTTGATGCAAGCCATTCTTTCTGGGGTTAGTTGGTATCTCAGTGTTGTTTTAATTTGCATTTCTCAAATGACTGATGAGATTGACCATTTTTTCATATAGTTATTTGCTTTTTTATTTCTTCATCTGAGAAGCATGTATTTATTTCAGATGACCATTATTTGATTAGGTCTTTGAATTTTGGAGGATCTATTTTTTTTTAATTCTTTATGTATTCTAAATTCTTTTGTTTGAGGGATATTTGGCTAAAATGTTTTCTCAATTCAGGTTTTTTAAATTCTGTTGGTGATTTCTTTTGATGTGCAAAGGAATCCAGTAACATGAGATCCCAGGGTTTTATTATTTGAGATATTACTCATGCAGTTTGTTTTTTGTTTATAACTCTCTGCCAACCCCCATGT